GCCTTGATGACGAAGCTAGACTCGCCCGGGCTGGCTGCGTATTTCTCCGACTGGCGCTCAATAAAACCTCCCATGTTGGGAACATCGTCCTTGGTGGGGTACCACTTGCGGAAGATCTCATACGTGACGCCGGCGAAGTTGTGGTCCGGATCGGTCAAGGGCACCTCGGTTTCGAATGGCGCAGCGCAGACATTGAGAGGTTCGTCCCAGACCGTCCAATTGGGATTGGTGTACTCGTTGCAGTAGGAGATGTTGCGCAAGTTGTCAATGTCGGGGTGAAAGTCCCAGTACCCGGCGATGTTGTCGAACGAGTGATTCTCCATCATCAGGTAGATGACATGTTTGATCTGTCCACGTCAGTGGCACTATCGTTTTCGACAGGCAGCTGCACTCACATTGGAGCGAATGTGTCCCCATTGATCGCTATCGCGCTTGTGAGGGAGAGCGGAGGCCACAGTGGCCAGGGCCGAGATAGCAGCTACGTTCAGCTTCATGTTGACTACTGCTCCGCAACCACTTTTTGACACCTCTGAGCTTCTGAATCCCACCTCACCGACACCGGGGCTGACCGGTGAGATATTTATTTTCCTGCCTCGCATGATGAAGGACGCATCCGGGCCTGGTCGGATGCATGGGGGCCTCCTTCGGCGCATGAGGGATCCACTGCGGCAGACATCCTGCGTTCACTAGCCAGCTAGAAGCCAAAGAATGAGTCGCGATGCTCCGTAACTGCCAACCATGGTCCAATGGCACGCGAGATGGCCCATCCCACGTGGTAGGCAGACGGGCTGCTCGCGTGAGCCTTTTTGTTGCAAGCAAGGCAACACAAGAACATGCCAACTTCGGATGCACTCCGCAGTGGGATGAGGGGAAAGAATTGGAGTAACGAGCACAATTCGGACTGTACAGCCGCGGAGCATGGTGATCAGCTGCTGGAATGATTGGTCATGAAGCAGTAAGTCGGAGATAGCTGCGTCGATTAAGCCGAAATAGGGAGGTGAAAGCGTCTCCGCTCACGCGAAGGACTTCCTAGAGAGGGGAGAAGAGGTGAACTCGGTGAAATCGGCGTCCTCCGGTGCATGCGATAGCAGACGATAGTAGACGATAGTCGATGCAAGCGGTGCATCGTGCTTCAGCCGTGCTTCTCGATTGCAGCTTAACTTGGCAGACTAATCGGGGCTGGACCGGACAGCCGATTGTACTAATCAGCCAGTGAAAGTGGAGTGTGATAGGGACAAAGAGTGTTGTATTAGGAAATAAGCATTCCTGATTGGATAGTCACCCTCATCGGCGGAAGCACCCACTGGGTCGCTAAGCCCAACGAGGCAAGGGCGCCTTCCCTTACCGGCCCAAGCTTCAGGGACTCCGCAGTGAAGTGGATCCCTGATTGCAGTATCCCGCCTGCCCCAACCAATCAGAGGCCCACGTGCCGCATTCGCGCACCCCCGCGACTGCAGATGACTGGGAGGCCATCAGGCACGTTGTCGGTCAGCTTCTCTCCATAGGCAGATGATAAGCCTGGCTGGCTATCACCGGAGCACGAGATGCATCCTGGAGGGGGTCGCTTCATTGTGCTTTTCCCGTCTGCTTCCTGGTCCCTCTTCCTCGGTGAATGCAGCCCTCATTCATATGTAGTAGCCGACGCTCCCGTAGACCGACTGAATAATAATAATCACCACTAAAACTTTCCTGGACCTGAGAACATGCTGATGTTGCTGCTGTGATCTGTTTGCTGCACTCCATAGGTCAATTGTCGCCCCGATCCAGCTGTTCTGAAATCTACCTCTTCACCCAGCAATCGTCATCTTCAGCAGAAATCCCCCGATTTTCAGGCTAGACTTCTTGCTGCTTATCTAGTCTGGTTGCCACTGTGTGACCTGCCAGTCCAGTAGCAAAGTTTTCTTCTCATCCTCTTCTTCAAATTTGGTTGAAACAACATTCCAACTCCTGCCAATTCTGTCAACATGTCGATCTCTTCTCTTCGAGGCCTTCTTTCCAGTTACTCTCCCATTTCAGAGGGATTCAGTCAACCTGATTTAGAAAAAGAGGTTCACGTTTCCCTTCGAAATGGCGACGACAGCGAGTCTTCCTCATCCCGGTCTGTCTGCCGGGAAAAAGCGGAGAAGAAGGAGTCCAAGATTGTTGACGGACGTATCGTCTCCGACGCTATTATCGGTCTCTCCGACGGCATGACGGTTCCTTTTGCTCTAACCGCAGGCTTATCGGCTTTGGGAGACACCAAGGTCGTGGTTTTTGGCGGCATGGCCGAACTCATTGCAGGAGCCATCTCCATGGGACTGGGAGGCTACTTGGGTGCAAAGAGCGAAGAGTCAGTATTCTCCAAATTCTTCACGTAAGAGGAGGAAAGAAGCGGATAAAGCTAACCGGACTCCAGGGAGTCCTACCGCGCAACCCTGAAAGAAACGAAGCAAGAGATCCTGACTGACCCCGCTTCGGTGACCGAGACGATCTCCGATGTCTTTGCGCCCTATGATCTCCCCGCAGAACTTGTGGGAGAGCTCACGCGACACCTCTCCTCATCCCCTAACCTCCCCTCCTTCCTCATGAATTTCCATCACACCGTCCAAGAACCCTCTGGTTCTCGTGCCTTCATCTGCGCCTTGACCATTGCACTGGGATACTTCATCGGTGGCTTCGTGCCACTCCTGCCCTACTTCTTCGTTGGGCCTCATGATGTACTCTCTGCTCTGCGCTGGTCAATCGCCACGATGGCCGTTGCTCTGTTCCTATTTGGATACGGCAAGACTTGCTTTGTGAGCGGATGGAAGGGATATCGGAACATCAGACGCGGCGTCATTGGCGGCTTGCAGATGGTTCTAGTCGGAGGTGTTGCAGCAGGCTCTGCAATGGGACTGGTGAAGGGATTCCAGATGCTGGCAGACTCTCATGGTCATGAGCATTAGCCGAGCATGAGAAGCAGTCCAGTCCATGACATGATTGTTAAAAATGGCGTTTTTGGCGGGATGACAAGAGCTCAAAATGGTATTATCTTCGGCGTTGTTAGGACATGGTTTGGAACATGTACATAGATCTATTAAATCAAGGGATGGTTTTAGTTAAGTTGATAGTGAATCGAATCTCTCGAATACTACATCCACCCACACTCCCATTGGAGCAAATCTTCCCAGAATCGTCAGCCCTGCAAACGTCCTCCCAAGCAAGGCATCCACAACCATCCATTGCAACCTCAGGCAGTCACATCCTCCCTCCAACCTGAGGCAACATCATACCCCATCCATCACCACAACTCTTGTTCATGATCAATCAACCAACATTCCAAAAATACCCTCACAACATACTAGCAGTACCACCTGGTATCTACCCCTCCCATTACCAATAGATACTGAATCCGTACATGCTCTGCAACATACAATACCAATTATACTAGGCACCACCCATTCAATCATTGCTCCCTATGTCTCTCACAAAGACCTGATACTATATATAAACACTATACATACAGTAGTCCCTTATACCCCCAAATATAGATCCATCACTGCAACTAGTAACTAAGCGAGCAAGCGTTAAACAAGCAAATAGAACAAAGCAAATAATGCCACCTAGTGCCGAGATACTAGTATCTAGCATCTCCCCCAATTAGTAGTGGCAGTGACACTGGTGTACTAAGTAAGCAGTGGCTGTGCCTGCATTCCCCAGATCAAAGCAGATCGACAACATTCATCCAGTCATCTGCTAGAAACTCCGTACCTTGATCTGCACTGCGACTCGGCATAGCCCAGCCAGGCTGGCAGGTTGGCAGATCGCCATCCATCTCTTGTAGAAAAGTAGAACCGAAAAAAGGAAAGAAGTACAAAGAAAGGCTAAAAGCCGGTAAGCATTCCAACCCTCGTCGATCGATTGATTGGGCTGAAACAACATGCCGGTTCTCAACTACTTACTAACCCCCTTTCCCCACTGTTAGCCACGCTTTGGCTTGATTTTCTCCCCGGTGAGAACTTAGATGCATTCCATTTCATCTACTGTTCCTTCAGGAGTAGGTATGTTTCACGGGTTGGAAGGGGTGGAATGAGGAGATGGGGGAGAAAGGGGAGCATGGCTTTGAGCCGCATTGTGGAGTAAGTATCTACGTACACGGCGTCTTGGGTTGTACAATTAGTTGTACCTGGGATGGCTTAGATAGAATGTTACAGATTGTAGGTGTTGAGAACTCATGAGTGAAGCCTTGTGGGTGGGTTGATGATGTGGGTAAGTAATCCATCAGGCTGTCACAACGCCCAATGCAGTGCACCGCAGCGCAAGGCAGTGCTAGTATTGACATTGTGTCGTGATTGGCTTGCCAAGTATAGTTTACTACTACTTATGTATGTACTGTGATAGTAGATGGAGTTACCTACCTTAGTAGTGTAGATCTTCCGGGAGAGAGAGAGAGCATCAACTGCTCCGTAGTGATCGTCTACAATATACACAGTATACTATGCTGCGTATCATCTGTAATTTATCCATCCATTTAGGAAAGCAATACCCGACCAGACACCACTGTATATCCTGGAGGCGATCCAGGAGTTAATTCGACCACCGGACGAGTGGCATGCGGGCAGCAACTGAAATGATTAAACAACGAACATCATAGCGGAACGGCATGCGGCATGACCTCATTGCCCGGACCACCCTGCAGATGAAGTGGCTGTCTGATTCGTGCCATCGGATGGCACGAGCAAAAGAAAGAAAAAAAAACAACTTGAACATCAGGTGATGCTATGGGGCTGGGCTCCTGCAGCTGCCGACCGGGCGGCGGTCAACGAAAAAAACCTATCATCAGTTTTAGTTTGAGAGAAGTAAAGAAAGAAAGTAATGTTGTATTGTTGTATGTAAGTAAAATGTGTATGTATGTACGGATCCTTACTTGCACTCCAAATGAATGCAAGGCTCACTCACCCACTCACTCACTCACTGCTCGTTCCTGATGTCAGATCGATATCCATCAATAATGTGGGAGACGTTCGAGAAGCTCGGATTACAGGAAAAGAAAACCAGATTTCGAGTCGATTGTGGCTGATGGGCTGGAACTCCGCCCACGGTTGTCTCGGCTTTCCATGATGTACTATGATGTATACGACGTTGAACCCCATGTTTTCTGCCCTCGGAAACTGAATGTCCATGATGCAACAAGAAAAGAAGCGGGGACCGATGCTTCTGTTACTTTCTTGCTTTCTTCGAGACATTGAAGGTTAGCTGTCACTATCCTCCAACTCTTTCTACGTTTACCCCCCTATGCATCCCTGACGTTTGAATTTCACAACCCAAATTGGAGTAGTGATGATGATGATGATGATCTTTCTGGTCCAAGCCACGGCTCGGCGTCGGGCGGTGGTCGCGTTGTGTTGGCCTAAGCTTATGCCGATCCACTCACGGCCAGGCAACCGTAAACCCTCAGCCATTACAGGAAGCCCGAATACGAGCTTGCTGTCGAGAAATATCCCTGGATTTAGGGGAGGGAGGAGGAAAAGGGTTTTTGGTTTCAAAATCGGACCCTTTTCTGATAGTTAATTTGTAAGAATAGATGAGACACGTTCACTGCCCCCCCTCTAGTAGTACTATTATCTTATTGTTCTCGCATCCCTTTCTGATTCGCAAGGTATACCTCCATTCTGGGGTTGCTTTGCTGCCTATGCGGCTGGAATTAGACTGCGGCATTCCTTCGTCCTTTAATCTTAGCTCACCATTAATCCCAGCAACGAATCTATCAAGGTAACTATTGAAAAGCACTGCCCGCTGTGCTACGTAAGAAGAAGCTGTGCTCTTCTGAGCCTCCGAAATGAAGCTGGACCCGTGCCCTCGTAAAGTGTTCCCAATATGTATCTAACTTGTTACCGAAATGAAAATCACCTGACGCTGAATCAGCGGAATTCAAACGATGCAAGAGTAACATACTGAGGTAAGTAAGTAACCAAACTAATTAACGCGGCCACGACCACGATGGAGATTGTCATCAAAGTAAATTGGGGCCAAAACTACTCATGACGCCGCATTCTGAAACCATACCTTCATTCAGCGCTGTGCTCCCCCAACGCATTATATTACTATATCTTACTTCTTACACAGATAGACAACTCAATAATGAAGCTGCCAGAAATCACTACAGTTGAAGTGAAGCGCCGGCGTCCACCCTCCCCGCATCATCACGATGGATGCAGTAATCTGCCGTGTGCCATGGTCAGCTGCCACTTAGATCCCCAGACTTCCAACTAACTACTGCAGAGAGTTTCACACCAACAAAAGCCTACCAGTGAGTGTGATGTTTTGTCTTTCTCTTCTTTACTCGGATGTGAACTGATCATCTCTGCCCGGCGCGGCTTGCCGTGATCTTCCCACCCATCTCGAGGTATTCCAACTATGGTATGGAGCCCGCGTACCATACGTATGGTATGCCAACAATACCATACCAAACGGTAATGGGTGGCCCGGCGCTTCCAGCTTTCTTTCTACTCGTGTGCCCAATACACATAATTCCCTACTAGACTGCTGCTTAGACTCCCATAGACTTGCACATCATTGCCTATCCTTGACCTTGAAAAATGTCATGTCCCCTATAACTAATAGTTTAGTGACTTTAGTTAGCTACAACACGGAGGTTTGGTTATTCATCGTCGGTGTCTGTGTCCCCTTAAGCTAGCACCTTAGTTATTAGGTAACTATGGAGTAAGTAACTGTCTCTACTATGTAGGTACTACTAGGTAGTAATTTAGCGGATGACGGAGGGGGAGGCGCATGCGTGGTCCCTCTCATCAACGCGCGCTTTTTTCTTACAGCAGCAGCAGCAGCAGCAGCAGCAGTGCGTGCCTCGAGAGCGTTAGATCGGGCATATGACAGGCGCAGGCTGTTTCGTGTTGAAAGAAAGATGGCTGGTTGAGAGACTAGCCCTGTTAGACTTTTGTGTAGGACGGAGGGGGCGCGCCACTTGACAATCCCTCAACAAAAAGCACCTGTTGGCTGATCACTGTATAGCTAGTCTAGATAGCAAATATCAGGTCGGGCTGGGCACGCGGCTATCGTCCGAGCTGCTTGACCCAGTCATGGGTCGTACGGTCCTGTCTATCCGTCTGAGCTCCATAGCCGCTGACTACTCTGTTTGGACAAAGGTCAAGATTCGAATTTTCGAGTCTTTTGTGAGCCCAGACTAACTATCTACTATCTACTTATGAAGCAAGCGGGATCCGGAAGTTTAGATTACCGATTGATATCCGGGGGAGGAATGGGCTCTTGCCAACACACCCGATTGTTCCCTTTGAAAGTGGAATTCACACGGCAATTCCGGCACATGGACTCCGTATAAGCCTTGCCAGCCGGTCAGCCAGCTAGCTAGACAGGTACAAAAACCCACACCAGCAACATGGCATCGTGTCGATGCCGGGTCCGATCGTGCCTAGCTTCCGCAGGGTAAGGAGGAGATTTGATAATGCGCATAATGCGCAGGATGATATTGTGACCAACCAGACTATTCAGGGACAGGGGGTCTTGGCTGCAGGGTAATCGGCGATTTCTTTGGTCGGATGCTGCTGACTGTGAGACCGTTGTGGGTTAAGCGAAATTGGTTCTGGAGATCCACTGCTTCCAATTGGCTGCGGATGGCTTGCGGGTGGAGCTCCCAAGACCAATCATCAGGGGCAGTCCGGAATCCCATGAAATGAGCATCCGGGAGTTGTGCTGGGATGGTCTGAATTGGGCGTCTCGCTGAGTGATAATATTTTTTATTGTTTATTTGGATTTTGAGGTTTGCTTATTCCATTCCCCTCGAGACTCCTGCCCCCTCTTCACTATCTTAATTATATTAATGTGATGTGTAAGATTCATTTGGAACCTGCGTGTCACCAGCGAGCGTGTCTCATAGGTCACTCCTTGCGGAGAAGATTTTATGTCTGTGTCTCTGGCTGCTCGGTGTCAGCCAATATCCGTAGTAGTAACTACTAGCCTGCATGTTCCGTAGTATATCCCGACTTCTCCGAGAGCTGCTGTTTGGATCCGTTTACATTATGCCTTGCCAGGCAGAACAAAACAAGGCTTATGCTTGTTTGTACCCATCTTTTTCAATTTTAGCCTCACCCGCAGTTCGGTTGTAGCGGACTCCGTTGCCCGACCATGAAGAAAATTTCTGCAATATGAAAAAGGTTGGACCTTGGTTCTCTCAGGCACTCGGATCTGCCTGTCCAGCGCACCGAGGCACCACCGATGCGAGCTAGAGCCAACAGGGGAAGGCCTCCTTTTCACATTCCCAAAGCGGGCTAGTGGCTTTACCCTGACGACCCTGATTAGGGATAGCAGTGACGACATGATACGGGGCCAAACCGGTAATACGAGTACGACTTCCCAGTCAGGCTCCGTAAGCCCCCGTACCCGTCGCCGTCCGCCCCGTCGTCTGTCTTGCTGATCGAGAACCTGCAAAATCCTCATATCCCATCCATTGTTCCCTCTTCTCTTCCTCTTTCTCTTCCGTTTCTTCTTTTCTTTTCCTTCCATTCCTCCCGCCTATACTTCCGGTCCTCCTCCTCTTTCTCCCCAATCTCTCTTCCCTCGTCGACCCTCCGGCTCCGTGGCCATTTGCGCCTTGGTTTCCTCTCTCGCCCTTACTGTCCGCCTTGCGTCAGAGTAACCCTTGCAACGTGACCGTCCCCGAATATCCTCGTTTGGCCGCTGGAGACCGGAGCCTGCGCTTCCACTTCATTACTGGATCCCTCCAATCTGGTATTTCTCCGCCTTCACCAAACGCCTGTCGGGCCTTGAGCCAGCCAGCGATCGAAACGTTTTGTTCCAGGCGCCGCCCTTTTCAGCTTCTGTCACGTTGACGCCCAGAATCCCCCTTTCCGCCGACTCCGCCGGGCGCTTCCTTTGACCATCTCGAACCTCAAGACTGGCGACATTCTTCCCTTCAACTACGCCTAAAGTGCTGGGATTTCCTGACTATCAAAGATTCCACGGGGGTTTCCAAACGTGACTAGCCGCCGAGATGAATTCCACCCTTCCTTCTTGGAAGGACCGCACGCAGAATCAGTTCGGCAAGCTTCAGATCCAGGTACCATGGCGGTCGATCCAGCTCCTCGTCCCGCATCGCATGCGACGGAAGATTCGCTCCAAGCTTCGCAGCAGGCTTTCTCCGACATCTTCGATATCGTCTCTGCAAACGTCCTTTTCGCCCATGGATACGCTCCGATCACTGCAGAGCCATCGTTGGACGCTATATGACTTTCAATACTTGCTCCTGCTGATCCTTCTGATCTTCTCCCTGAGTGTGATGGGATCTCCTGGGCCTTTGGGGAAGACGGCGATGTTTACCCTACTTCTCCTTTCTCTCCTACTCCCGATTACACGCCAATTCTTCTTGCCGTTCCTTCCAATTGCGGGGTGGCTGATCTTCTTCTACGCCTGCCAGTAAGTCAACCACCCTTTCAGATCGGAGTATGCTGGAGTTTTGAGAGAAACTTGGGAACTGACGCTGTTTGAAATAGATTCGTTCCAAGCGATTGGCGCCCGGCTATCTGGGTCCGCGTGCTTCCGGCTCTGGAAAACATCCTTTACGGAGCGAACATCAGCAACATTCTGTCTGCTCATCAGAACGTTGTCTTGGACGTGCTGGCGTGGTTGCCTTATGGCATCTGTCACTATGGCGCGCCATTTGTCTGCTCGCTCATCATGTTCATTTTCGGTCCTCCTGGCACGACTCCCCTCTTTGCACGGACTTTCGGTTACATCAGCATGACTGCTGTCGCCATCCAGCTGTTTTTCCCCTGCTCGCCTCCGTGGTACGAGAACCTTTACGGGCTGGCACCGGCCGACTACTCCATGCCGGGTAACCCCGCGGGTCTTGCTCGCATCGACAAGCTTTTTGGAATCGACCTGTACACCTCGGGCTTCAGACAGTCCCCTGTCGTGTTTGGTGCTTTCCCCTCTCTGCACGCTGCGGACTCGACTCTGGCCGCTTTGTTCATGAGCCATGTCTTCCCGCGGCTGAAGCCCTTGTTCGTGACTTACACCCTGTGGATGTGGTGGGCAACCATGTACCTGTCGCACCACTATGCAGTGGATTTGGTCGGTGGTGGCCTCCTGGCCACGGTTGCATTCTACTTCGCCAAGACTCGATTTCTCCCGCGCGTCCAGAGCGACAAGACTTTCCGCTGGGACTATGACTACGTGGAGATCGGAGACTCTGCTCGCGAATATGGCTACGACTTGGCTGCCTACGACGGCGACTTCAACCTTGACAGCGATGAGTGGACGGTTGGATCGTCATCCTCCATCTCTTCTGGCTCCCTGAGCCCGGTGGACGATCACTACACCTGGGAAGGAGAGTCTTTGGCTTCGCCCATCGCCGATGTCGAGTCTGGCAGACATATGCTCAGTGCTTAAGCCAGTCGACCACCATTTTGCACCAACCTTCCTGCATATACAGCATCCACTTCTTGCATCTATTTACGAACGGCGTTAGTACATTTGACGACATGCTGGGTTTATTGCATTGAGCCGATTTCGACACATAATATCTTTAATACCGCTTTTTATTTCGCAGACCAGGTCGGATGGTTTCGATTTTCCGTTTTGGATTGGTCACCCTGGATACTGCTATGTTTTATCTCTTCGTCTTGACCTAACTGTACATCATACCGCACACTTTTCTGGGCTGCGTTGCCGCATGATCCTGCAGCCCGACCTCCTCGAAGCTCCGTCGATAATATTAATACCGAAGGCTCAGTGTTGCACGACACCGCGTCCCATCCGGTCGTGCAACTCCTGATGCCTTCGTTGGAGACATTCGCTTTCTACATCTCGCCTGGACGAACCAGGACAACCACACTCGTTTACTTCCTACTTTAGTCTTTCGCTTTTCACCAGCTGGTCGAGCTTTTTACCTTCATCTTCTTTTGCTCGGCCAGGTACATAATTTATCTTCGTGTCGATCGCTCACACCACTGGCGCCTGGGATTGGGAACTCAATGAAGAAAAAGTTGATTGAGGCGCCAACTTGCTTGCACCTCATTCGCTGTGCTTTCAAGGGATTCAATGCTTTTTTATTTTAATGACCATTGCATTGGCATATAGACAGAGGGGTTATGATGAACCTTTGTATTACGGTCTCGTTTGCGCACCAGAGACCTTTATTGTTTGTTATACGGAGGGCCGTGCTCACACGGGCTGCTCATTCTCCGGAAAGGGGAACGAAGCCGAAATGAGGCCCGACGCACGCACCCACGAGGAAGGGGACGCGGGAATATAGATGTTGACGGAGGCATCTTTCCCGAACAACACGTGTGCTTGGATTTTGTTGATTCGCTTTGCTATGGAAACACGTCACCCACCCCATCACACCCTACACCTTTTAATTCCGTTCGCACGGGACTACTCTTTTACCTCCTGTATCCCCTAGGTTGTGTGGTTTTCTGGTATCAATCGATGCAAGAGGACCATTTCTCTATTTTACCGCCCGCTCGCTCCTATGACCTAATTATTCATTAGTTGCGGCTGCGTGTGACGGGATAAGGGAAGGGGTGTTTGAATGGATGGATGACAGTATCCATTAGCAAAACCTATTCTTAATTATAATCAGGTAGCGTTATGATTTATGAATGCTTGTATCATATATGTTTTTATTTCATTTTCCTCTTTTCTATTGTATACATTTCATGTTTCTTAGGAACTTCTTGAATGACTACTACGTGCTCCTATTGGAAGTATTTGCCCTTTTTTTCCTTCAGTCTAGCCGTATGTAGCTTAGAGTAATTTACTATATTAAATTATTACCTTATCTGTCTATACCATGTCGATAAAGATCATATGAAATCAGATCACATGCAAGATTGATTAATGTAATCACAACCTAGTCACTCCACTAGACACCAGGGAATAAGTGTGAAATATCTCCCCAGATAGACAGAATACAACTCAACCCCCAACGGTAGAAGAAACGAATGATACATGATACATGACCATCATAAGATTCACAAATCTATCTATAATAAACCTTACACCACACCACACCACCAACCACCACCACCACCATCTCACACATATAATATAGGTATATAGTATAGTATAGTATAGTATAGTATAGTAGGTACTATGTACTAATAGGTAGGTAACCCCCAATAAAGTCAAGGAAAGAAAAGAAAAGGAGAAAAAAAAACGCCCTCTACTCACATTACGATACATCTATCTCATTCATTCATCATCAAAAACCTGTACCCGATCCGCGTACTCCTTAATCCGCGAGACGAACGTCTCTTCGATCTGGTCTCCTTGGCCGCCTGCTACGCGAAGGATGAGGTCATTGAGGGATGCGCGGCCGAGGATGTCGACGTGGTCGCCTATATACTCTCTCATATCAGAGATTATTCTTCCGAAGGGTGGAAAGGGAGATGCTAAGGGGGTAAGGGGTTGGGGCATACCTGTATTCGGACCACCACGGGGCGAGAAGCGATCCGGTTCATGCGGCATCTCAAAGACCTTGACTTGCACTCCGGCAGGGTTGTAGCGTTTCATGCGCCAGCCCTTGGCGCACATGTAGCCCGTGCTCAGGAGGTTGACGGTGCCGTCGCCCTCGCCCATGAGGACGCCGTGATCGACGCCGTCGTTGTTGGTTACTGTCGTGTCGATGCTGACGTTCAGGTTGACCAGGGGGTCACGTTCTTCCTGGTAGTAGTAGCTCCGTTCGGTGGGTTTTCCGACGCCGTAGAAGCAGTAGATTTTGAGGTCCGGGGCGAGCGGGAGCCGGGCTTCGAGGGGGTTGAGCCATGTGCGGGGGTTGTTTTCGTTCTCTTCGACTTCGCGGGCTGTGTGAGCCACGCCGTGGGAGTAGCTGCTGAGCACCTGGTCGCGGTACCAGGACTCGGATTCGTCGAAGAGGTAGTTGAGACTTTCGGTGACGGTCATGTTCTTGCTGGTGTGGGAGGAGTTGGTTTCGCGGAAGTTGAGCACGGTGCCGAAGGACTGGGACTGGTCGGGCAGGTCGTCCGGGGCCCAGGTTGCATTACCCCAGACGGCTTCGCCGCCCTTGGGAAGCATGCTGCTGATGCCGGGCATGGCGCGGAAGATCTCGGCGCGTTCTTCCTTGGAGAGGAACTTTTCGAGCCCGTAGACGGCGAAGGCGTTGAGTTGGGCGGTGTCGCGCATCTCGCCGGAGAGGACGGCCGTTAGGCCCTTCACGGCGCCCAGCATGCATCCGCTGATGTTGATCCAGTTGGCGATGTGGTTGTTGACCCAGTCGCGGCCGCCGGCGCCGTGGTCCGGGTGCTCGACCCATTTGAGGAAGTACAGCACCACCTGTGAGCCCATGCTGTGTGACGCGAGGGTGACTTTTTCGCCGCCGACCTGGACGGCGGTCTCGATGTAGGACTTCAGTCGGCTGAAGTACTGGTCGCGGCGCTCGAGGTTGGGGTACGAGAGGCGCCAGTCGTAGGCGGCGGTGAAGGCGTTGGTCGGGTCGTAACCGATGGTTGCGAGGTTCTCGAGGATCTTGTTCCAGATCCAGTAGCCGGTGATGAAGAAGTCGGTGGCGTCGAAGCCCTGCGCGGCGCGGAGCTTGATGCCGGGGGGATCCAGGCCGGTTTCCTTATCTAGCATGATGTGGTTCTTCCATTCGGCCTTGTCGAGGACCAGTGCGCGCATCATACTCCAACTGCCCCAGAGTCTGCGACGGAAGTACTGGCGGGAGTTTGCGTCGGTGCCCCAGCTCTCGAGGCCGGTCGAGATGACGCCGGGGATCATGACAATGGGGTGTTTGGCGTGAACGCCTTCGGCTTGGAGGTGCAGACCGACGGAGAAGGAGTCGTAGTTGACAGTGTCGCGTTCATGTTGCTGCGCGGGGTGTCAGTATACGGCGGGTCCTATTGATATATCCAAGTCGCTTGATGAGCAATTGGGTCGTACCGTGAATTCCCTGACATCCGAGAGCAATCCCTGAGGCATAACATCCATCAACGACTCCAAGTTCAGATCCATTATACTATCCAGACTGATCACATCCTGCTGGTTGGCGAAGAGGACGGCCACGAGGACACCAAACAAGCCACCCAGGACGAATATAAGACCATTGCGCCGTTTACTCCGAGGTTTGGTGACAAACGACTCTCCTTTGGGTTTCTTCTGCGCCGACGCAGTCGAGTCGGGGATGTCGCGGGAGTCGGACGGGGACGGCGATGCGGACGCATCGTCCTTGTCCTTGGCCACACGACGGCGGAGCATGCTGCAGTTAGACGACGGAAATCATGTAAGAAGCCGGAAAAGCAAAGAGAAGAAAAAGGAGTTCACGTCAAAGCAGAATCATATGAGAAAGGAGAAGAAAAAGAAGGTTTGAGCCAAAAATAACCGAGTTTGACATGAAAACCGAATCCCGTCCCAATTCAGGCACCGCCGGAAAATCACATGTGCGGGACGTCATCACTTCTTTTTATTTTCGGCTTCCCTTTTCTCTCCATTCATGCCCTGCTCTCTCTTCTGATTCGAGTCCTTCATCCTCTCCACAATGACTTCCATTCCTCCTACTACAGATGCTATCACCACTCCCACAACAACAAATAATACCACTACTGCCACCACCACTACTCCCCTCCGCTATATCCGTTACAATGCCGCCCACGAAGACACCTACGTCCCCGCCATGCGCCAATTAATCTCCAAAGACCTCTCCGAACCCTACAGTATTTATGTCTACCGCTATTTCCTCTACCAATGGGGCGATCTCTGCTTCATGGCCATGGACGACAACAACTCCGAGCTCCAATCCTCCTCACCAATGGTCGGCGTCGTCGTGAGCAAACTGGAGCCGCATCGCGGGGGCCCCTTACGCGGATACATCGCCATGTTAGCCGTGCGCGAGGAGTATCGGGGCCAGGGGATAGCCACGAAATTGGCTCGTATGGCCATTGATGCTATGGTGGAGAGAGGAGCGGATGAGGTAATTCCTTCAAGTTCTCCATGGCTAAATGCATGTGCACGTTCCACTAACGATCCATTGATTGCAGATCGTGCTTGAAACCGAAACCACCAATACCGCCGCGATAAAACTCTACGAGCGACTCGGGTTCCTGCGGAGTAAGCGTCTGCATCGGTACTACTTGAATGGCAACTCGGCGTATCGGCTTGTGCTGTACTTGAAGGAAGGGGTTGGGTCGATGCGGACGAATATGGATCCGTATGCTCAGCGAACAGGGCCGCCTTACCCCTTGATTGAGGATAGAACGGACACGGTGGTGACCGCGCCGGAGCCGGCGTTGACGCATGAAAATGGGAAGTGGTAGAGGTCATTTTTACCCTACCTTTACTCTTTTTGGATACCTTTCCCCCTTTCTTCCTTCTTGGATGGATGTGAATGACTGTAATGACTATGCTATGCTATGTTATGCTATGATGAAGATATATATGTGGATTTGTTGGTCTGGTTTGGTCTGCTTGCATTGCATTGCATGTGTGCGGGGTTGGGTTGTGGATTATTATAGATACAATCTATTGCTGTTGGGTTTCTATATGGTGGGGTGGTTCCAGGTCTATGTACAGAGTGTTATGTGATGTTATGTGGGGTGGACGGGAGGGAGGGCATAATGTACAAGATGTGTATATATAACAGGGCCATGGTGAAGCCACAATCGAGCAAATAACAAGGGAACAGATCAAGCCGGATACATCGACTTTCTCACCGGCACGCGAATGGCATTCTGGACCAGCCAGTGTACCGGCCGCGGCACCTTCCGCCACTCTTGATCCAAGACCGAGGCGGCCTCCAACATAATCAGCAGAGGAAACTGCGGGCGATGCCAGGAACCGATCTCGATATCATGCTGCGTGAGCGCAGAGGCCACTTGGATCTGCTGCTCCCGCTCTTCGCCGCTGGGCTTGTAGCCTGAACTCAAATAGGCGATGGGGTTGGTGCGATACTCCCGGGGTAGTTTGTCGAGCACGGTGGTCTGGAGCTTATGGTCGGGACGGTGCAGATCCAGTCCCACGATGACTTTGCCCGCACTCACATCCCAGATCGTGTGGACGTTGGTCTCGGGCTTTCGGGGCACATTGCGGATCAAGGAAGTCACGACCGTGCGCTTCATCTTGTATGTCACGTTTCCGGACATGCACGCGTACCTCCAGAGGACCCGGCAGATGTTGTAGTATTGGCCCTTGAAGGCGACCAGGAAGAGTCGCTCCCATGCGTGCCGTTCGAGCTTCGTTTCGGGGCGCTCTAGGCATCGGAAGAGATACCGCAGAGCGGTGGGCATGTCTGCTCGGAAAAGAGACAGAATTTGGGTGATGGTAGCACTGTTGAAAGTTAGGTCGTTCTGCTTGCAGATGTCGAATAACCGGTCCAGGGCAGCAAAGTCTTTCAGCCGGACGATGACACCGAACATCTGGCTGATCAAAGATGGAGCGAAACAGCTATCTCCGCAGGAGTCGGCGGTCTGCCTGATGAATGAATCCACGCTCTTGCCACTTTCTAAGTGTGCTCGGAACGTGTTGGGCAGAGTCAGGTGTAGCGCCGTCCGCATCGCACCCATGTTCTCCAGGTACCCGCGCTGCAGCATATATGTGACGAGATCTGCTTTCGCCTTGGGAGCAACCAGACAATCCAGCAGGGTGAGCCATGTGTTGGGGTCCGGCCGAATGCTCAGTCGAGACATGGCCAGCAAGAACTGCCGGAAGAAGCGGAGGTCTTGCCTCTTAGCCGCAGACTTCAGGAGGATATTAAAGGTATCCACCGTCGCAAGGTGTTCAGACTTGAGAAAGATGTCGCGGGCGGCGTTCAGAAACTCATGGTCGAGCAGATATGACAGCGCTCGATTCAGCGCCGCCGTCGACATAAAGCTGGAATATGCCTCATTTCGGAACAGTTGCACAAGAGCCCGCGCCACTTGCTTCTGGTGCGAATAGGGAATCTTCGAGTTATACGAAGGTTTTGACCTCGTCAATTCCTCCACATGTTCCGCGAAGTCCCTAATCCCAGACAAATTCTTCCCAGCAGGTAGAACCATATGCAGCTTCGCGGCCTGCTTGACAGCCGACTGTATATCCCATACACCTCGAACCAGCGGCACGGGCGCACCCTGGCGCTTCATCGCTTCAATAGACGGGATGATCGGGAAAAGCGGGATTTGAATATCGACCAGAGGGTCACTCTGCTCTTGAAGTCTCCTCGCCTGCGCAATCCTATCGCTGACCAACTCAACCACCCGCTCGGAACCAGACAGAATCACTCTCCGAAACCGACCCTGGCTCTGCAACGGACGCAGCACATGCACCTTGCACCCATTATGCACTGGCACATACCAAACATTCTCCTTCAACGCCATGTCCGTGACGCCGGCTAACAGCGCGATCGTCTCCTCCGGCACGAGCAATTCCTTCTGCTTGACGCCCTTCTTCGCCCAGACATGCGTATCCTCGTGCATCTCCTCCAACATCTCCCGGATCTTCGTCCACTTATTCCACTGATTATTCTTCGCCTTATCACGACCCTGACTTTGCTTCGTCAAAAACAGCCGATATCTCAACTTCCGTCGGTCGCGGTGCGATAGTCGCTTCAGCGCAATAACGGGCGTTTCACCAGCCGACGATCTCATACCCTTCCGGCCCATCGTCGGCTGCACAGGTCGCGTCTGTAAATCGGAGAAGATATTGAAGACGTGTCGTTCGCTCTTCACCTCGGTTTGCGGGTCATTGTCTAGTTGATTGTAGATGGATGCAGGTGGTCCGGTATCGGCATTCTCCTCACCACGCTTCCCTTTGTGCGGAGCCGCTACTGATCTCCCCTGCTCAGGCGGAACAACATCCTGCTTCACTTCCGTCTTAACAGCAGCCTCCGCCGCCGTCGTCGAAACCCACCGTCTCGACGAGCTCCCAAACGAGAGCTTCCGTCCCGCTGGTGGCGGCTTCGCTACCGTCCTCCTCCGAGCAGCAGCGTTATATACATTCCCATTTCCACACGGCGAAGGACCTGATGAGGAAACAAGTCTCCGGTGTTGTCGTACAGCCGAACCCACCCAGCGAGGGTACAAGAATAGGAGAGGTTCTTCGGGACTAGCCGCGACGGTGTCTAAGACGGTAGATAGACTACGTCTTTTCAGACACGGTCGACCACGAGATAACATGTGGGATCGGAGTGACACACCAACCAAGCGGCGGGGGGGTGGGAACTTGGAAGGCGTGGTGGCCGGGGTCGTGGTCGTAGAGAGATCGGAATGGCCGAGGGAAGAAGAGGCAGGGGAGCTTCGGAGCCAAAAAAGTTATTATTACTGTTAGTTAGTTAGGTGTTGGGTTGGGGTGGTTTGCCGGGGTTGGTAGGCGGTAGGTAGGCGGTCGTGGTTGGCATTTTACCGCACCTCCGCGGTGCCAAGCATTTACTCCGTATACTGACTGCTCTTTGAGATGACTTATATGATATGAATACATTTTAACAATAAACAGATGCATAATAATACAGCTCCTACGCTAACCAAGCAATACTAGCCCACCCCAAAACTCCAACCCCATCCAGACAGAACACCAAAATCAAGAAGAATACTGAAAAATATGCCCTTCCCTACCTACCTCCGCCTCCTTAGGAATCCCCTTAATCTCCCCTCCATCATCCATTGACTTGAACTCGAACCGGCCAGAGTATCTCGCCAAAAGACTCTCGCGCTTCGAAACGGGAGTTAAATCCAGCATCTCCATGCTCGATTTGCGGTTCTCGATGCGCAGGACACCCGGGCCCGTGAGATGGCGTCTAGCTGTTTCGGTGGCCTTTCGGAGATGATCCAGCTTGCGCTGCAGCTCGGTGGCTTCGCCGTCCCCTCTGGATGAGGAGAGTTGTTGGGAGAGTGACTCGACGACGTCGGTGAGGTGGAGGACGAAGTGCCAGCGGGAGGCTTGGAAGACGAACATGGACATGATTTCGGGGATCTGGATGTTCATGACATATCACAATTAGCATATTGCTCCTGCTGGTTCGGATATTTGCAGGGAACGGGTAATGGTATGGGGGGGCCATACCTTCTCATCCAAATAAAACAACTCCTCCCCGCCTTCGTCGACGAACCGATCTAACGCATCCACCTTTTCGCGATCCACAATCGCTACTCTCAACGCGTGCATCAACGCCGGGATATTCGCTATTTCCTCTATCGGCGCCCCTTCCTCCTCCATCTCCCTTGAAGTCGTCGCAGTCGTGGTCCGACCCAAACTCGTAGTCCCATACTCACCCCCACCGACCTCACTAACCGGCCTCTTCTTCTTCTTCCCCGAGTGAATCGTGAAATAGTCCTCATTCAACCTATGCGCCATCTCCAACTCCGTCCGTCCATGTCTATCCACCAACCGTTTCGTCCTCACCCGCACCCATCTGCGCCGGCGCACAAACGAATGGAACCATGGATGCGAACCATGCCACGCCGTCGACTTGAATGAGAACGAATACTGCCATCCCTGGTCGTCCACGTCGCCGGACATATCAACGTACCAGGACCGCCACGCCCATACCCAGCTGGGATCGGGCACTTGCGCGTTCGTGATGTCCACGGGACTGTCGCGCAGGTCGGCGGTCTGCCAGGCGGAGGGGTCGAAGTTGAGCAGGGAGCTGTGCGAGTAGAGCGGGATGCCGAAGAAGAACCACCCGCGTTGGTTTTCGTAGAGGATGTCGAGCTCGGTGTTGGGTTTTAGGCCGGTGAGTTTGGGGGCGTTAGCCCCTGTAGTTGTAGTGGTGGTGTGAGTGGTGACGAGAGTGTTGCTTTCTGGGGCGAAATCCGTGGCGCTGACATCCTGCGAAGGGGGGGAGGGTTGTTGTTGTTGTTGGCTGGGACTGTCACTTCGACTTTGGTATTGCGAAGGGGGAGGGCTCGTGGTGGTTGCTGTTTCTGTAGTAAAGAGGTCTGACGGTTCTGGTCTTTCGGAGGGTCGTCTGCTGGATGACGGTATGCCTTCCTCCTCTTCATTGTTGTTGCAGCTGTAGTTGTTGTCTTCATCATCGGTCGTAAGCCCCAATCGATCCGGTTGCCATTTAGCGTATTTGCGCTTCTTCAGCTCGCCGCGAATTGACCTTTTCGTCCATTTCCGGGAGACGTGGCTGCCGCCGTTTGTTGTAGCGGTGGGAGTTTCAGAGTGGCGGCGACGGGGCGCAGTATTATCGATGAGGGCGATAGAGCTGGCAGTTGTATTGGAGTGGTCGATGTCCATTGTAGGTGCCTGCCTGCCTGCCTTACCAACCACTGTATCAAAAGCTGAGACCGATCTTAAAAGTAATTATAGAATATAACTGAAATAAGATAGAAAAAGGGATCCGATCATCGCAGCGATAATAAGCCCATCATTCTGCAGGGATAGAAGTAAATGAATAAGTGTTATATGTGAGACAAGACAAACAACTAAGTAAGTGACTAGTTGGAGATTAAAAGGGGACCTCTCCAATTAGAATAAGTAATAATGGGAGCCTGCACGAGCAGAGGCTACTATATAAAGCAAAAAGATTTTCTCTCCAATTAAGATTATAGCCTAGACCATTGGAATGGTGCGACAAAAACAACCCACCGGAACCTGCCTGGTTGGGAGAAGAAGATGATGATAGGAAAGAAAAAAGTAAGTAGTTCGTTCGTAAAGCAAGGCATGAAAATGGGAAACTTCACCTTCCCGATTTCGATCAATGATGACATCGTTTGCGGGGCGATCGACGCTGTGTAATGCCTGAGGCATACATTTTCACTTGTTGTGTCCCTTGGTGCCTTAGGCAGCAAAGAGGGATAGTTGCTATCGTAAAGTTAGTATCTCCGCATCAAACAATCATCAAACATACTCTACGACGCGTGATTCCCCTCCCTCCTCACCACTACCACCCATATTCCCTCCACTCCACCAAAATCACAAAGAAGAATAAAAAATGTCCACCGACCACCACCGCAAAATCGAACTCCAATCCTCCGCCGACTTCACCTACCTATACGCCAACACCGTCGCGCTCTCACGAGCAAAACTCGACCTCCACCTACCTCCATCCGCGAACCCCAACGATGGACCGGATCCCATGCGCGAGCGCGTACGAGAATTAGTCGATGAGGTAAGACCCTATCCCTTTCCAGATCATACATATATATAAATCCCACAATGTCTAACGACGACATTGTAATCTATCCAGTACATAAACCGCACCTTCAACTCCGCCTCCCCCTCCATCAGCATCAACGGACTCGACTCCACATCTCCCGAATGGCCCTTCCCAGCAGCCTTCACAGCCCCCACCGAACAAGTAGAATACGAAGCGTACGACGGGAAACTAGCATCGCGGGTAACATCGCTGTATGCGCAATTGGAGTCGTTGACGACGACGGTGGCGCAGTTGAGACGGGATGCGCCGGGCCGGGCGGCCAAGGCGTATGCGGAGCAGTTGAGGAGGGCGTTGAGGGAGGATGAGGAGGAGGAGAAATTAGAGGATTTGGAAGGGGAGGGACAGGAGGAAATGAAGGAGGAGGAGGAAGAAGAAGAAGAAGAGCAGAGTGCGGGACGGGATACGGAGATGGCTGATGCGGGGACCACGAGCACAACGGCGACAACGACACGGACTCAAAGGAAGGGGCCGATGACGAGGTCGCGGGCGAAATTGGAGATCTCGCTGGGAACGGAGAATGAGGCGGAGAGGTGGCGGAGTGGGGAGATGGCGGAGGTGTATGAGGATGCGTTGCGGACGTTGTTGCGGCTTCAGGGTGAGGGGGTCTCTGTGGATACGAGTGGTGATGGGACGGAAGGGAATGCGCTTTCTTCGACGCTGGGGAAGGCCGAGAGGGCTGGGCGGGCTGTCGAGGTGGTGGAGAAGAAAAAGAAGGAAGACAAGAAATGAGTATTTGTTTAGGCTGGTCTGCTTACCACTGCATTGTTTATCGTCTCTGCTATGGGTTTAGGTCGGCGTTTGCTGGGGTCTTAGGATGATACCAATCCGTTTACAATGTGTTTACAATAATGAAAGATCTGATGGACACGCTCTGCAACGTTCACTCTAACGCTATATGAGTGTATACCCTGGTTCTACCTAGAGCATCCTGACCACGTAACACTTTTATCTTCTGTCCCCTATTACTGACTGCCCCGGCTCCAATCTATAAAAAGCACCTCGCGCCGCTCATATGGTGTTTGATATCTGACTGCAAAAGGAAAACAAGCACGACCAAAAGCAAAACACATTATAATAGGACCGCGGAATCCCCGAGAACAACTCTCAACAACCCTTCCAGCACGTATCTTGAAATATAAAAGAAAAGTGGGCAGGCGCCCGCGGAGTACCTCTTCCTAGCAAAACAGTTCTAGAAACAAAAGAAGGGATATAGATCGGCAAGATAGTGCCTGAAGCTTTTACCATATTGATCCAAGATTTAGACCGAAACAGAAACAAACCGGTTGATGACACAAAAGCCTCTATGCGGTGGCCTGAGCCTCAGCCTCCTTCTCGGCAGCAGCCTCAGTAGAAGCCTCGGCAGCAGCCTCCTTCGGGACAGCCCACTTGGGGGTCTTAGCCCACTCAGACTCCTGCCACGGGCCCATGTCGCTAAGCTCGCAGCCTCCGGCACACTGGCAGGTACCGCCGAACTCAACAGGGAGGTTCTCAGCGGGGACCTGAGCCAGCAGCTCCTTCTTGTAGTTGGAGCCGAGAACGTGGATCTTGTTCACGGTCACCGGGTCAAGGAAGCCCTTGACCACACTGAACACGCTGCTGAAGCCCCAGGGGGCGTTGATCAGGTAAAGCTTGCCCAGGCGCTCGGGGTAGTAGTTCTGGGAGATGGCAGACGCCTGCTTGACGTAGCCGTAGACGGAGGGGACGCTGGTGATACCGACGCCCTTCAGGTCCATGATGGTGCAGCAAGTCTCGAGCAGCTTACCAGCCTTGCGGGAGCAGGCGGGCAGACGGGGGTCGGCAAGCTTCTCATACTCGGTCACGAGGTTCTGGAGCATGCGCTCGCCGGTGGTGATCTTGTACATGGCATTGAGGTCAATCTTGCCCAACTTTTCGATGTAGACAGGACGGCCATCCTATTCGGGGTTCCGATAGTTAGCGTCTCGACCAGTCTAGCGGTGGAGAAAAAGCGGTCTGTTCAAAGTCACGCACCTTGTCCGTTTTGTGGTAGTACTGGGGGTAGTATTCGAAGACCTTGGCCTTCTCGGGGTACTCGAAAGTACGGACGAGCTCATCAGTGCCGAACTCCTTCCGCCACTTCTCGCAGTCGACGAACCTTTATTTCCAGAAGTGGCTGTTAGCGCGCGCGCTTCGAAAGTTTCGGGTTTCCATGATCACAGTGCATAGCATCTCGTAACAAAGTCTCCGTGAAACAGGAGACAAAAATAGAAGACAGAGACTTTCAACTCCGTTTTCCCAGTAGCACCCGCTTACGCGTAGGCTCCAGCAACTGACGCTAGTCGTCACATCATAATCAGGGAGCAAAAACGTACATGGTCTTGGCAGCAGCGACATCAAACTTCCGGGCTCTCAGGAAACGCAACAGCGTCAGAGTATCCAGCCTCTCGGTGTAGCCAAGCTGTTCCAGCTCGGCCCGGAGCTGCTCTACCTTCGCATCCTGCTCGGGGGTAGTGTGGCCAGGGTGGCCGGGTTGGTCTTCCGGCGCAGTGGTCGGGAAGTCATAGTCATCGTACTTGGACGGAGCCGCCATTGTGAAGGTGATGGTGGATGAAGAGGGTTGGGGGAAAGGAAGAGGAGGGGAGAGTTAAGAGAAAGTTATAGACCCGAAGGCGGGATGAGTTGATGGTCAAAAGGGAGGAGGAGGTAAGAGGAGAAATCGGGCGGTGCAGGGGGGGAAGAAGAGAGGAGGAGAGAGAGGGGAGTGGGGAGGGACAATTAAGCGGGATGTCGCAGATAGCAGCGGTTAAGGGGAAGGAGAAGAGGAGGAACAACTGCCTAGAATATTGAACAACTAAACTGGAAATTAACCTAGAGGCGGAGAGAGAAGAGGCAAAAAAAAAAAAAAGCCAGAAGGCGAGAAAGAAATGAGACGGGGGACGGAAACAGCCAAACTTAGACGGGAATCCAAACCAAGTCGAACTCACTGCAACTTTCCTACTACTGCTAGAGTTGACCACTCACTCACTACTGTACTTACTCACTGCCTACTTGTCTGGCCTGTCAAGTGGCAGCAGTCGGCCTGAATTGCGTGCCTGAAAAACCGAGGGGTGGCGCGTAAAGCGGTCAACCTTCCATTCCCCCCTTCTTCTTCTTCGTCTTTACGGACTACTCTTGAGGCGTCATGCGTGGCTGCACCTGTTTCATTATCGATCTAATTTACTTGTTGATTAGGACACATCCTGCTTCATGATCATCATTCTCACTGAGACCCCTCACAACCCCTGGTTTGCGACCACCTAAGCCTCTCCTTCGCCAATGCGCCCTTTCGTTTCAGGGCGGTCGCGCCGTTGCCATTCTACGCCCCGGCGGCAGTGACGTAGGTGTCTGGACCAATGCTGGTGGGTGTCTGGGCAACTTGGCCGAATATCACTCGGCGGAAATTGCTAGCCAGATATCCCCGACGATCGCTAATTTACATTGACTGATTTGAACAGCTCAGGTCGATCATATTACAGTCGAAAGAATCTCATAATACTAAACAATGTCCGGTGTTGCAGACTGCTCGTGGCCTAGACACCTCAGAGCATCATCCTCATTAAAAGCCATATAATATATGATTCCGGGGAATTCACAACGCTAAATCCAAGGCATACTGGTACATATAAACACAGTGTAACATGACGGCCGGCCTTACCAGAGCCGCTGAAGCAACACAGCGCACCAATCTCATCAAACCGCACTGACCCAATAAAAGACACTCAAGCGCAATATCATTCAACGGGGTATAGCCGTCGCAAGGACAAAACGAAAAGCAACACTGCTCAGAAACCCCCTGCTCATGACCACTCACCCCCGAGCCAGCGAGGGAAGAGTCCAGGACCACACGCTTGGGATTAACAGAGCTGGTCGCCCCACCACATTACTGCCCCGCATAGGAGCCCTATCTTAACAAAATCGGCAAAACGAAAACAAAAAAACGCAACTCATCTTATGCATCCATGGTCGACCCGCACCACGTCTGGGTGGGAAGCCGCATGGTAAAGTGTACAAATCAATCGTCCGTCCCCAGGTCATAACGTAGAATAGACGATCCAAACAGATAACACGGCCACGGCTCTCGGGACATGTCGGCGTATTGCCAAGACCAATTGTCGTTCATCAAATTGGCGGCATAGTAGCCAAGACCAAAGGCTGGCCTGTCTTGAGGCTTGCCGGTGACTATCCGCTCCGTTTCATAGACGTCGTGATAGAGTGTAAAGAGAGGCCATAGGTGCCGTCTCTCTACCACCCTTTCTTTCGTGCAAATCGTTTGTTCAAAAGTAGAAGCACCTTCGAGACATTGAATTGGACGTACTCCAGATCCAAGTCCTCCTGGTTGTCCTTTTGCATTTCGAGCAGATCATCGAGCTTGAGATCCAGCTCCAGAAGACCACGAGCACGGCCTGGCATAGTTGGTTAGATAGATAGAATGGTAAAGAAAAAGGTTGAGATCATGGCTTACCTTTGTAATGCAGGCTGATGACAAAAGTGCCTGGCAAAGGACTCTTAAACATAAAGTAGATGTTGGCTCGTCGGTTCTCTGGCACGTTACTCTTGCGAATGACACCTTCCTTCTCAAGCTGCTGGTGTGTAAATTTGTACGGCCCGAGTTCCTGGTGCTTCTGCTGTTTCCGCTGCTTGCCCTCGGACTGACTGCGGACGTTGTGAAGATACGACTTGTACGTTTCCAGCTGGCCCACCAAGTACGCATTGTGGTCGCGTATGGTGGCAAAGACTTCTTCCAGTTTCTTCGTCTCCTTCAAGACATTCTCCTTCAAGCCGCCCAGGTACGCCAGTTCCTGTTCAACCTCATCACGCAGGAGACTGAAGTCATCGGCACGTTCGATGACGCCCAACTTCATCAATTGATCGAGCAGTTCGATAGTACGGATTCCTTTCCGGACCATCACCGCATCGTTCTTGAGGGTCGCAGCACTCTCCGCAATGAGATATAGCCGTAGCGGACGACGCATTGCCGGGTGTTTGGGAGGGAGGGACCGCAAAATCTGGACGAAGGTGGATTTGGCCTCCATAAAGAAGACTTCTTCTTGGGTGATATCCAAGGCCGCGGTCAAATCATCAAGAGACGTCTCCCAGCGGCTAAACAAGGGCACGGTGATGGTCCTGTTTTCCTTCCGTGGGACCTGTGTTGGCGCAGAACCAAGCTCCTGCAGGATTTCATTGAGATGGGAGTGCTGGTCCTGGGCCAAAGCCAAGCTGTGTTTCTCCAGCAGAGCGTGTGTGGCGTACATTTCGTTGAGGGTAATCTGCAACTCGAGGTCTCGCTTCGAGAGCGCGACATAGTTGTCCATCTCCAAGCTCTCGTAGAAATCTTGCACATCACACAGATCGAGCATGAACTTATTCACACGTTCCTTGTTCTGCTGGATAAAAGGCTGAAGTTTCGCCATGTACGGCTCCTTGGCATACGAAGGTTTGTTGGCCAAATTCTGAAGCATCTTCGCGATCAGAGTCAACGTGCGCCGGGGTTTCTCCGTGGGCGTCGATTCAATCAACATGTACGATCGGGGCGTGACAATAGCGGGGTTGATGAAGCGAAGGAAGAAAAATCCTCCGATCAAGGTACAGATGGTCTGATCTTGAGCGTCCGGGTACTTGCGTCGAGACAAACTTCTGATCTGCTTGCATATCCACCGAATGCCGTACGGTGTCTCTTCCACGGACTCGATGATTATGTTCAAAAATCGGTTGGCATAGTCGGTGAGCATCTTCAATCGCGGTTCGATAATGGCCTGCACCTGCGCATTTGCCGCTGCATCTTCCGCCGTAACAGATCTCTGAAGACTTTCTGGCAACGAGCCCTGCTCCTCTTCGATCTGTTTCACCATGGTTTCATACACTTTGAGCGGGTTGATCTCCAAGTCGACGTCGCGCAGCTCGATCAGGGCATTGATCTGGTTGGCAAGGACTTGTTTCAGGTAACTCTGACCAGGACCGCGCCGGGTGTAGGTGGTCATCATGCGGGAAACAGGAGTGTTCTGGCGCAAAAGTGACGAGTATTCCGGGGTGTTGTCGAACTGATAGGTGAGGACAGACTGAAACATGGTAAGTAGCAGATGTTCTTCACGACTCTCATACTGATTTCCGTAAATAGTAAACATCACGGTTTGCAGGAGGGAGTCGATCTCGGACATGGAGACTAGGCGGCACAGGTGGGCGATGTGACGGGGTTCGGACTGGAGAAGGAAGAGGAGATTACCGTACTTCTGTGTTCGCTCATCGTTAGGAAAGAATCCCTCCTGGGGATCTATAGCGTCGTCGAGGTGGCTGGCAACTTCGTTTTGCTGGTACTGTCAGGAACTACCCATGCAAGAGACGGATCAATTCTTACTTCTTCCAGAGCCATACGGTTTTGGATCAGCAGGGCAATCCGTGAATCCAAGTACCGCACATCTTTTTCCAGGACGAAATTCTTCTTCGATTGCGTTGAAATCTTCGCCTTCAGTTCGCGCAGATATATTTGAGCTGTCGCATAAAATGTCAGCAAACGTTCCCAAGTTGAAAAAAATCACACCCAAATCCAGTGACTAACCTCTCGCCAGATCGTCTGATATATCCAAATCCCTGTCCTTAGCGTTCATGGACATGTACAGCGCAGTGACTGACAGCCGCTTCGACTGGCGGAGGGACCGCGTGTCGTGGGAAGACATGGTGTTTTGGCGTGTGACAGGCTGAAAGGAAGAAGACGATGAAGTCGAGGCTCTCGAAGCGGGTTGTAGCATCGTAGCAACGGACATTATGTGCAAGAAAGGAGCGTATAGAGGTGTGCTGGGATCGAGCAGCACACGATTGGGCGTTCAGGCGCGATATATGCGGGCGAACAATCAACCACACCGATACTCGACACCTTCGATATCGCGATTATGACAATTCGAGCTGTGGTCGCGGAGTTTGTGTCTTTAGAAACCACTGATCATTTGGAACAGGACAAGCGAGTGCAGCGACGCAACGCAGGTGTTTCAAAACCCCCTTATCGGACGTGTGGAAAGGCTGTAGCTGTAGAGGCGAATGAGCGATCGGAGCGAGCTCTGTGCACGGTTGGTGAGTTTAACGGTGTTGGCAACCTCGAGACGGGGGCGCCGCTAGTCGCGTAAAAGAAGGAGTAAAAATAGGATGGAGAAAAAGTAAAGGGCGATCGGAATGGAGGATTAACGTGTAGCGGAGCGCGATGGATGCGATCAACAGGAGGCGTCTCAGATACTGCCCGGCGGTTATAAGGGTTAACTTGGGGAGCAGCAAAGATAGGCGGTGGGAATAATTCCGAATCGGAGAGGGACGGAGGAGTTGAAGAGGAAATTAAAGAGAGATGGGTTGTGTGGTATGGAAGAGGAAATTTTCCCACTGCCGAAGAAGGAAGGAGGCGCAAGGCAAGGATGGAAAGGATTAATTTAGTGATTGATGGAGAGAGTGTGGAAAGAGAGAGACTGGAGAGAGAGGGGAGGGAGGGAGGCAGGAGGAAAGATGCCGGTCGGATGCAGAGGAAAATCAATCAGGGCAACTACTAACCAACAGGGGGAAGGGATCGGAATGACAGTGAATTAAGAAGGGAGAGAGGGTGATCAAGTAAGAGAAAAAAGAAGTAATAAGGGAGAGAAGAAGTGCGGTGAATAGAAAAAAAAAAATAATAATAAAAAGCGATCCCAATCAATCAACTTTGTAGAATGCGGTAGGATATCAGAGTGGAAAGTTGACAATGTGGTGAAGGGGATGACGACGACAAGAACAAAGAGGGTACAACTGGAGAGTTGGAAGTATTGAAGAGGGAAAAATCAATAATAATAATAAAAGTAAATAATGATCATTAAGGGAAGAAGAATAAGAAGAATGGGTATTGATTGAGCCAGTGCACCAGAGATCCAGGAGAAACAAGAAGAGGGAGGGGAAAAAAAGGCACAGGATGGTTCGCGAGTGGACTTAGGGAGGGGAGAAATAAATCCGCTCGAACCCTCGCGACGGCGTTTACGGTTGGTTAAGGGTGGAGTTGGTTTCCGTGACTTGCAGCGGACGGGATGGAGAGCCAAGCAGGTACCACTGCCACTAAACAAAAGTAGATACCTTTTAGTTGCGCGAGGATTCAAATTTCGTCAGGGCAGTTTGACCTTGAGTATGGGCTGGTGTGGACCTGCATCTAGTCTACACCTGCATCAATATCATGCTAAAGGTTGGTTTTCTTTTCTTTTTAGAAGTCAGTTTGATAAACGTGTTTCTTAAGACTGACAAATTCTCCTACTTGTATGTATGTATCATCATTTGTATTTTTCTTTTCTGTTTCTTTTTTATTTTCTCTTCCCTATTTCTTCTTACAGCGAGTGTGTCAATCAGTGAGGAACTAACTAGCACTGACTAAGTATTGCATGAGAGGGGGGAGGAGGGGAGGGGGGGGGAAGGAAAGGGAAAAAAGAGGGAACGGAGCACAGGGTGGCCCAACGGTTGAACGGATTACATGAAGGCCCTCTCTCCACCCAGACAGCCCCAGAGACCCAGTGAACAATTCCTGTTCCTGAAATTGGTCCCTACGGTCTTGGTGTGTCGGTCTGTTCCTCCCCTCAGGGATTATTATTTAGTATTTTTACCCACCCACCATCACCACCACCATTAGCAGCACACGCCTCCTGAATTTTAAGGACTGGTCAATCCATCCCGCATCCAGCTGACTGACTGTCTGACAGCCAGACAGAGAGATAGGCAAGACAGACAGAGACGAGGTTGAAATAATCAATGCGTCATGACTGTCAATCCAAGACAAAGAATTTAGAGACATTCTCCAGGTCAGATGTTTTGGATATAATATCTAGCCTATACCCATGGACGGAGAAATAATAAAATAAATTAGCGTTCGTTCAATTCCATTACCGCTTTGGGTACTATTTCTCCCCCTCCTCCCTCTCCAAGTCCCTCCTTCAAACCTTCGAAGGCCCTTAACATCATCCTCATCTCCATTCCTCTTATAGAAAAAAATAATTCGTTATCCAAACAACCAACAAATAATTCCGATTATACCATTAATCCAGTAAAATCACAGTAGTATCCATTAATCAATTAATTCAATCATCCGGATCGTCCCCCCCCGTCCTCTCCCCCAAATAATGATATCCGGATGATCGTCTGCCGCCGCTTCTTGACCGTCGGATGGTCGCCCATGCAAGAAGACGCAAGGGGAAAAATCCAGCGGAGCCCACGGCTTGCACGTACCGTAACCGGGGGGTGCAGATAAATGTTTAGTAGCGCGTAGGTTAGGTTCGGAGCTAAGCAAGAAAAAGAAATAGCGACACTAAACGAAACTAGATAGAAATACCAAGTAGAAGAGAGACTAGCATTATTTGCAACAGTAGTACAATAGTAGTAGCAACAATCAAGCCATTTAACACAGTAGAAGAAAATAAACAAATAATTATAAAACTTAAGATGATATCTTAATCTTCTTTTTAGTGCATCAGCCCATCGCATGGCACATTCCAAGGTTTTGCAGGAAATGTTTAATTTCGCATGACCTGAGTAGTTGTTAGTTAGTTAGTGCTGTAGATACTTTTGTAGTTTAGTCAGTCCCTTTTCCCCATCCGTCCGCTGGCTCGCTTTGTTTGTCTCTGTTTGTCTCTTTTTACCCCTGGCCCAGTGCTTCTCCGTCCACGGGTACCTGAGTCCCCGTAGTCCGTATCTAGTCTGTTGCCACCACACCCACCCACTCCTCTCGGTCGGGTCGGGGGTTTGGCACAGTAACAGAGTAAGAAGAGGAGAGGAGAAAAAAAAGAGGGGATCTACTCCGTACTCGACAACGCGACGCGGCACTAGTCTGAACTACTTGCTACTGCACACGCAACTGTGCGGAGAGAAAGTGGAGGGATGAAAAGGAAATAAAGATAATGAAAATCGAAAAATAAAATAGAAAATAAAAAATATAATGCACAAAATCTTGACAAAGTTTCGATTACACATGCATGATATCGCTTTTTTGAGTTACGACCCCATAGGTCAATCATCCTGTCATGGGAGGACATGATGGCAGGCAGGGCAGCACAAAATTCTGGAGGAGGGGAGAGAGGGGGGGGGAGCATGACTTACTCCGTAGTTCGTTTACCTGCAGGGCGCCCAGTTCCAATCTAACTTTAGCCACACACCACACACACTTGATGGGAAAAGTGAGAGAAAGAGAGAGAATTTGGTACCACCGGTTCACTAATCAGTACTGCCGGGATAAGATTGGTGAGACGAAGTTGCCGAGGGCGGAGTATGACTGAATCTTAAAAAGGACCAAGTTTCAGATTTGCGCGATTCGAGTCATCCATCCCATCCATGGATTGGACGGGAGTTGCATGTGTGGTACCTGCAGCACTGGTGGCTTTTTCATTTTTAGTACGTACATTAGGCCCGCCTGACACGATGGATTGATTGATTGATGGATTGTTTGCTTCGCGTAGAATGGAGAATTTGAAATCGAAATCTCATGTGTCGAGATGGTGTGCTTTTATTGGCTTTTTTTCTGACGAGGGGTCTGAATCAGTTGGTCAGTCATTCAATCATAATGCTAAGCGACATGCTTGATTTGATTCCTTCCTATTTACGAGGCTCACTGTACTGCTGTAGTCGTAGTAATTTTCCACAGTTGTTTGATAAATCTAGCCTGCAGATTTGCAATTCTCACGTAGTACAGGATCTAAAGCATGTCTAGGAATTTGGAGTCGGGTAATTATGTGGAATTGATGAGCGATAATGCAAGCCTATGACGATGCAGCATTGCGATGCGAGACATTTGAGATACGATCAATGTCGGTGGGTAACTACTGGCCCTGCCCTCGTGAGCGGGGGCTCCATACGTAGTAGAGATTCTACTCCCTCCTTATCAGGGATCGGCTATCTGCCAAGTTGGATGCATACCAAGCACCCATGGATGGATTTTGCCACTGCATTGTATCTAATTGTCTGTTATTCTTGGCCTGAATATCTTCAACAATAGAATAGCAGTCAATAACCGTGAATACCCTGTGGCTTAAATTCTTGGTAATCAGGGTCAGTTGTATGCATGTAGATCGACCGGGGTTCTTCATTCTGAAGCCTCACGGTGCATACTGCCGGGCTTGGCAGGAATACAGTAAGAAAAATGAGATGTTATAATAAAATGATGATAAATTATCTACATTCGATGAACGAAAGAAAAGAAAAAGACGGAATACCAAAGTAATCTACCTAATACAAATATCAATCCTGCATGACTCGTGAAGCGAACCGTGAAATTGAAACATAACATACTAAGTTCCCGCCCCAGGATTGACTACTACTCTATCTAGATAACATATCAATCCCAAAAATCCCTCATTATATGTTTAATTGTTAATGATCTCCCGATATTAACATGGATCCTGCGACAGGAGCAAACGATGGAAACGATCGACATGATCCAACTTAACCTCGCACAGATCCTACAGTAGTAATCAGCAGTGACCACATCTCGTCAGCGTCATCATTGTCTTTGTCATTGTCATTAGTAGCTTGATTTCCTCCACATTAATTACTAGTACATAGCAGATGTTGATGAACTCATATATCTATATAATTCGGCAATACAAGCGAGTAGTAAGAAAGTATGATCCAGTATACTATGCACTCCCTAATTACCTACAATGGTAGGTTAAAAAAAATCCATCATCTCAGATCCCGACTTCCTACCTTCAAATCCCTAAGTACCAACACAGTTTCAGAGAGAGTAAAAAGAAAAAGAAAATATAAGAAAAAAGCATTACCCACCCTCCCCAGTCCAGAAAGAAACATAGGTACTAGATAATCAACCCAACCCCAACTCTAATCTACTAAACTTCGATAGTCCACACCTGTCAAAAGCAAACATCATCCACTGCCATGCAAATCCAGCAATCTGATTATTGGATGTCACGGATTACTACTGGTCCTAGCTAACTAACAAATTAAGTATTTCTCATAACTAACTGAATGCATTAAGCTTGCTTATGCACTTATGCACACACTCCTCAATCGTGTACCACCTTCACAATAATGTGGGGTCACACATATTTTTGTTGCTGTAGTACATCCACCAAGTGACACACATATGCAATGCATGCAGCCTGCAATCTGTGCATTATGCACCCCAAATTTCAGTGTGTGGTTGTGCTGTCAGTGGAGGTTGTCTAGCATAGCAGGCTCTTGTGTTTGTGTTTATCATTTGTGTTGGGTTGGGTTGGGTTGGTTTTGTTCGGGATTGATACTGATAAGTACTGAAGGTTGGAGCTATGAGCACAGGATCTACAGTTAGTGTGGTATTTAATTGTCTTCTAAATTGGTTAGTGGAAAGCCAAAGAAAAGCGGTCTACAAGGAATGGAGCCATATTTATTCGATGAAGCAAAAGTATGTTGGATTTTATGAGAGCTTATTTTCCAGCAGTAAGAAAGAAAAGGAACGGCTATTGATACCAAGCTTCCAGGTCATCTCAAACCGTGGGTAAGACGCAAGAACAGTCATCCTGTTCTCAAGAACTGTCGTCACCCGAGAGGTAGCCCATGTCCCGCAGCCGGTCTTCATCCCACATGAAGAGCATGTATTGCGGGTGGCCAGAACCGGAGAAGAAAAGCCCCATCTCTAGATCTGGATTAGCAGGCTGTTCCTCCGCGATCTCGTACCAGAGACGGTGTGGGCCATTATCCTCCTCGATGAATACAAACGGATCATACATCCTTTTGAGCATTAGGTCAGTATTTGGAGAAAATTTCTGCTTATTGGACTTGGGATCGCTGTTTTCTAGCTTTCCCCAAATGGCATCAAATATTCTATCGCCAGCAGCCCTCCAGCACTTGAAGCGAAACTTTTCTTCAGCATTCAGTCCTCCCTGATGCCATTTTTGGTCCAATGTGCGCTTGAACGCCAATCCTCCTTCCATCTACAGATAGTTAGGGCTCACAATACACTTAAATGTTGGGCTCCAGAGCTCACCAAATAGTTGCAACCTTCTTTCTCAGAGAAAGAGCGGAGAGAGATCTCCAGCTCCACATTATCGGCAATGCACCTCGCTGCATCTATTAAATCAATTAGTATTCCCGCTTCCGTACCAAAAAGACCTTAGTCTGATCACGTACCATCATTGTGAAGAATCTTATTCACAGTTATCACCTGATACAGCATCCAGCCAGTGAAATTATCTAGAAAGCTCTTCCAAGGAGCATTGGCTTCCATGCGAGTCATAGTGTGGCGGGGTATGGTGGTCATCGCCTGCAATAGAATATCATGTATGTAGAGGGCACGTTCGACTCGTAGCAACTCAGTCCTAGAAGCGGTCCTCGACGTGAGCCTACCATGTTTTCCTGTTTGTCGCTCAATTGTGTTTTCAGTCAAACTTTTAGCATACAATTGGACGAGGGAATAGAACCACAACATGCTGCGGGCCTGCTCCTCAGATACTTCCTGCTCCAACTCAACTTTGTGAGTGTTGTAACGGAATAGGAGAGCCGCGAGGCCATAACTCTTGTACCAGTCTGGTTGGACCATGTCATAGTGGACATACGCATAGACTCGGATCTCCTTGGGGATAGTGTTGTACATGACATGTCTCATCCAATTGGCTCCATATGGTGCAATTTTCTGTAGCATTTGAGGACATTCCTTTTCGATGAGAGCATGCACTTCCACGGCAGGAATATCAAGCAGAGTGATCTTGTTCCGAATGTTTTCGGGAAAGTCGGAGAGACTTGGTCCAGTAACTCCCAGATTCACCGCAGAATGACTTGACGCCATTTTGTAAGTGAAGGCGCTACTACGTTTGTTTGTAGAAGTGTTCAGTTTTTCGAAATTTGTTTTTGCTATTTGCTAGGCGATAGAAGATTGAAGAGGCGTGTTGCTGGGGAAAAAAGGAGATTTCTAAGAATACTTGCCTCTTCTTATAGTTGTTCGAGAAGGACACACTGGGGAGACAAAATGCCTCAATCGAGGACATGCTAAGGAGATGTCCATTATGAAAGTTCCATGACGGTAGTTCCCATGGATTGGCCTTCTTGCTGCGTGAGAGAAGTGGAATGTCCCTAAGTAATCTGGAGCAGTATTGAATGATTGCATCGGAAACAGCCAGACATTGATGTAGGAATAAGACTGCATGACCACAGATAGAAGGGGCTAGCAGGCGCTAACACCGCTGCTTCTACACTAGGAGACGGATGTATGTCTTTTGGAGACAATGAAGAAGCGACATCAGGCAACATCACTCAGTCAGGTGACTATCATAAGGGAAGGGAAAGCACGAATTGAACAACAGCATACAACCTATCAATCAATACTACTACTAAAACTTTATCCTTCCCCGAAAAGAAAAAGTGGACCCCAGACACCCGAATGGCCATTGAATCTCCCCGAACAAAGCCCTTTCATCCACCGGGCTGTACGAACCCCTGCGCATTCCTGCATGAACCCTAATTTGTATCCGATAAGCTTAAATTCAGATCCTACAATGATGAGATAGACATGTCAAATTAAGCCCTAAAAACACACATACGACATCACCGGCAATGCTGGAGAAAAACCGATAGTTTCTCAATTACCCGCAGCTATTCTTTCAGCCGCAATCACATGCAAATTTCCACCTTAACGGAGTTGTATTTCCTCCGTTTCTTCAGCACCGCATTCCTCCAATTTCCTCCGACACCACTATCACCACCTTGATACCTCAATCCAACAAAATGCCCTCCCTAAGAACAACCTACCTAGTAACCTACAATACCATCAACGCCCTCCTCTGGCTCTACATCTTCTCCTCCATCATCCTCTCCCCCTTCCAATCCCCCCAAACAACCTACGCTACCCTCGAACCCTGGACAAGATGGACCCAAACCATCGCTATTCTTGAAATCCTACATGCTGCATTAGGCAAGTCAAGCCCCTATCATCATATACCTAATCCCTTCACCACCCCCACCACCAAACACCAAACACCAATAACTAACTGCAAAGAAAAGGCCTAACCCGCTCCCCCATCTTCACAACCTTCACCCAAATCTTCGCCCGCAGCGTTCAAGTCTGGGCCATCAACTACGCCTACCCAGATACCACCAGTCCCTCTCTAGCATACAAGTACATGCTGCTGGCATGGTCCTTCGCAGATGCAATTCGGTATTCTTATTTCGCGGTCCTAAGTGCCGGTGCTCCGGTGCCGGGGTTGTTGAGGTGGTTGAGGTATGCATGCATGCACTTACTCTTCATTTTCTTCTTCCATTGTGCCCCCATTCATATAGATAACGTGACTGAATTGAATGGATTAGATACTCCCTATTTCTGATCCTCTACCCTATCGGCATCGGAAGCGAATGGTGGCTCATGTTCCGGGCGCTGCGCGTTACGAATAGCATCCCTGTTCAGGCGTTGTTCGTTTTCTTTTTGTTTCTTTATGGTCCTGGTGAGTTTTTCCCTTTCTCCTCGTTGATGTCGATTTGTAGGTGGTATGGGATGGTGGTTTATTGATGATTCATGTGTAGGTTCGCCGATGATGTATTCGTACATGGTTAAGCAGAGAGGGAAGACTTTGGCTGGGGGTAAGGAGAGGAAGGAGAAGCAGAAGGCGTGAGTGTTTGGTTGGTTGGTTGGTGGATGCAGGAGGTGGTTGGTTAGTTATATACTAATATTGCAGGGGATGGATATGATTGGTGGTATGGTGAGCTACGCTACGCTACTGACAACTAGTATTGACGAATAATACAATTGGAACAGACTGGACTAGATAAAATTGAATTGATTTGAAGTTAGAAACCGGGTATCGCTATGCATTTACAAACACTATGTCCATGCCCATGCTTTTGCGCACCATTCCTTTGACAAAGAAACAACACTCCTTTCTATCACCTTTAACAAATCACCGGAACGTAAACGCCTTTCCGGCAGTCTCGCGCTTCTGTTTCCGCACTCCCGACGGGGCATCGAGCACCTTCGCATAAGGGTTATAGCGACGCCTAGACGGGAGTCCCGAAGTAGCCTTGGGGTTGGCATTAAACACAGAGGCAGCGGACTCGTAGTTGAAGGCAGCCTCCTCTTCCTCCTCTTCTCCGTCCTCCTTGGAGGCAGACTCAGGTTGTGCTGCGGCCTTATTCTTCTTCTCCTTGCGGCGCTGCTTTTTGGATGGCTTATCTTCAATGTCCAACGAGGAGCTGGCGTCCGTGGTAGGACCATCGATTTCCGACGAGGCGGACTGCAACTGCTCGACTGTCTCTGCGGGGGCAGCCTTGCGCTTGCGGGGGGCACCCATCTCCTTGACGGTAAAGTACTTGTTCTCATCCTCCTCTTTCTTTTCTTCCTTGACGGCGGGAGCAGAGGGAGCGGGTTTCGGCGTTTGAGGTTGAGCGGGGGCGAGCTTCTCGCGGGCTTCGGAGACGGTTTTAGGCATAGGTGGGAGAGGGAGGGAGAGACGTAGAGCTTCAGCTGAGGCAACGGCGGAGTATTCGGGAACCGTGGGGGGTTCTTGCGACTCCAAAACGGAACCCCAGAATTGGGATACCTCGTAACGAGAGACAGTGGGCATATTGGCCTCTGCTGGGGATTGAGATGGGACATCGACTGCCTGTGTCGCCGGTGCGGCTGGTGTACCCCTGGTTGGCTTGACATACACGTCACGCCATTCAGGGCCTTCAGCACCCTCATCCTTCGCCTTCTTGATGACTTCCAGAAGGTCTACAGCGCGGTTCTGGACAATTGGCGTCACGGGCGACAATGTCCGGAACAGGGTGCCCAAGTCGAGCGGCATAGTGTGAGCAACCCTAAAGAGAACGTGCTTCGGGAACACACATTGCACGCCTTCATCTTCCTCTCTGGCAACCTCGTCACGCCACTGATGTACTGCCTTGAACACGGCAAACTGTTCCCTGTTGACCACGATCGAATTGCGAGAAAGGAGGTCGTACCAACCGCCCGGTCCTTGACCAGTAGCAGCATCGTAGACAGGGCGCTCGTATACTTGCAGAGCCTCTTTCTTCGACTGCTCCAAGACGTAGTCGACAAGGTTGTTGTCAGGTAGGGAGTTTTCAACAAGTTCATTGCGAATGTGGTCGTAGATGTGAAGAAGGTAGTGAGTATCGGAGCGAGCGTAGTCGAACATGCCTTCCGGGATCGGCCGAATGCGCCAGTCGGCCATCTGGTAACGTTTATCGGCTTCGAAATTGACAAACTTCTGCAGCAAGAACTTCAAACTGCGCTTCGGGTAGTTCAACGCGCACGCAGCATGATACGTATCGAACATGCCAACGACATACAGTCCCAAGTCGCGCTGAAGCCAAATGATATCCATCGAGGAACCGTGAAGCACCTTAACAATGTTGGGATCCGTAAACACTTCGTTGAGAACCTGCAGCTCCTCCCTCCACGGCTTAAGCGTATCGACAACCCAATCCTTATCCCGAGTGCTAATCTGCATCAAGGAAACGAGACCCTGATACGAGTGCACATCGTGATGCTCCAGATCAATCGCAATCTCCTTCGCAGCCTTAAGCTCCTCCAGCATCTCCTTTACACCTTCCTGAGTATCCACAAAAGTCGCCTTTGTCGACTCCCACGGCTGATAATCCACTGGCGGCGACACACTGTACGACGAAGCGGGGTACTTCGCGGCACGGATCTCCGTCTCGTATGGGTTGACATATCCGACCGCAGAATCGGACAATTTCAACGAGTCCTTCAACGGAACGACAGCATGGGGCTTCGTCTTAAGCAGCGGCTTGAAAGGGGCGGTATCGGTGTTATCGGCCTTGCGCTCAAATAGCAATTGCGGCTTCGGGATCTTCGACGGGCCGTAGTCGTAAATGGTCGGGAATTTGGCGGGTTGCTTCTTCGCGGCCTTCGCAGCGGCAGCGGCAGCCTGATCTTGTTGCGACGGGCTCAGCTTCTTAATAACACCAGTGAATTCATCCAAGCACGCGTCGGCCTTTTCCAAAAGCGCATCGATAACATCCACGACACCGCGCCAATTGTCTTCGAGGGAATCTTCGTCGTCCAAAGTCGGCGCTGAAATATCGGTCCCGGCGGTGGCGGCTTTCAGGATGGACGAAGTGAGCGACAAGAGTCGGTTGCTCTGCTCGTCCAGGGAATCGGAGACCTCTGCGTTAGAGGTGCGATGGAAATCGAGATCTTCGGCTGAAAGTTGACCGGCGGTGCGCGTCACCTGCATCAGGGACGACTGCACCTGTTGCTGTAACGAGCCAAAATCTGCTGTGGAATCCATGTTGAGAAGCAGAGACCAGACAGACAAACCCGTTGGACTCTGGCGGCAGCAGCAATGGGGAGTGGACTTGTCTTTCCTGGATAAGAAAAAAAAGCAGTCGGAGGTGGAGAAAATCGTCGCGCCGGTTGAGGCTGACCGCCTACTTGAATAGTACTAGTGAGCTTCACGAGTGATCTCGAAGATGGATTACATAAGGTGCAATGAAGATGATCTCACCTGGAAAGCAGGTTTCATTTATATGCACTCGAAGATATCAGCATCTAGTCATAGACAAGAAATAGATTCATCTATCTCATACCATTGATTATCTGTGGAAAAAATTGTCCGATTCATCCGACCCAAGATGTCAGCATCAATCGCCCCCGAGTGCAATGATATCAAAGAGTACGACTCCTTCACCAGCACACCTCGACACATATCTTATCTCCAACTAACAATTTGAGTAGAAAATATGACACATGCTTCTTAAAATGGTACAGCGAAAGTAAGTCTCATGTCTCTTACACCAAGTAAGCATATAACTCACCAATCCCCGCAGAGTACCTCCGTGGCAACACCGCCTCCAACGATTGCGACGAGCTTTTCAAGAAGTACAGGGCTTGTTTGAATGTATGACTCTACTCAAACCAGCTCTCAAGCTATTTACCAAACTAATCTCGTCTAAAAGCTCGCACTGAAAGAACGGGGTATCGACACCATGCTTGATGATGCTCGCAAGAGTGCGAAGGAGAGCGAAGCTGAATACACGCGGAAAAGCTGATGCGTTGTGTTCACGATTTTTTATCAATCTTTTCTTTCGTTTCCTTTCGTTCCTCTTTCGATGTTTTTTCTTGCATTAGAGATGTTGGTTACGATGGACCTCCCCTCTCCGACGACATAGGGTTGGTCCAGAAACCCCGCCCAGCGAAGCATTCATCTCATCTCATCTTATTTTGTTCTGTATCTTACTCTCCTATCGGGTGTTTCATTGTCGAGAGAAGACGAGTCTAAGATTGTATTATTAACACATGTCATTATGGCGTTTTGGGTGCATCTCTCTAGACACTTTTGCTATCATGGCAGGAGTTCTAACTGTGGTATCGAGCAATACTGTATCTAGCTAGGTTGTACTATATATGATGCATATACTGAAGGTTAAAGCTTGATCTTGCAACCAGTCTCTATATCGTGTATCAACATTATATACTAGATTATTATCTAATGCGACATGAATCATATACTATCGATGCCCTCGCCTCCTCAATTCGCCTTGGCCAAACGCCCCTGGAACCTTCAGTATCCCGTTTGCTGCAGTTCCCATGCCTCCAACCATGGACGAGGAACTGCTGCTGCTACTACTGGTCTTTCGAGGCTGTGTCAGCATCGACCATACCTCAGTCATGCTCGCCCGGCGCGCAGGAAGCATGCTGTACTGCATGCCGTACAGGTTGCGGCGGTGGATAGGAGGCACAAAGCGGCCGGTCACGAGGCAGAAGATGACTTGTGGGGAAAGATAATGTTTCCGTAGGCGATGACCCAGTTGGAAGTACTGATCAAACATGGCACGGAGAGTAAGAGGGATAGACTGTTCAGGTTAGCATTTGACGGCTCAGTGGAAATTGGCTACAAACCTCAAGGTGAATATAAGGCACGCTGACGCTCGACTTGCTAGTCGAGGACTTGTCGTGCTCTTCACGAAGCTCGAAATGTATCCCACCTGAGAATGCAATTAGTTAGTTGGCCTTCGATGAGAGGTGAACGTAACGCACCTGGCAGTCTCCGTGAGTCCTTGACTCTGAGCATCAGTGCAAAAAGCGGGAAATGATTCAAGAATGCCAAGCAGGTATCGAGAGCTGCCTTAAGCGAAATGATCAACATCCGCGCGCTCGCGAAGGCGAGATAGAAGACGATAACCGTGGGTAGGAGGAAGAAAAGAACGGTGAACAAGATGGTCCCAAGAAGCAGTTGGTCAAGATCATAATCGCATGAATCTATACGGTTGCGAAGCACGTTTCGCTTCTTGCCGCGGAAAAGATGGAAAAGCGAGATAATGATGGTAAGTTGCCAGTTAAAAATCCGGGCAGAAGCGATGTAGAAAGAGTAGATATGCACTGTCAAAATAGATATGAGGTCGGAAAACAGGGCAATTGGCATACTTGCCCCGGCGAAACTGGAACAGCCGACAACGTAAATGATATGTGGTAGGTAAGGTTGCAAGTTGGCAATGCAAGCTATGGTTTAATTAGCCCAAAATAAAACATTAAGAGGACTGGGAATCCAAGCTTACCCGCCCAATTTTCTATGACCCACAAGAAAAGGTCACCCAAGAACGCGGCGAGTTCGTTATTGAGCTTAAGACCAGCCGGCCAGTCCATGAGCCAGGAAATAGTACCCTGTAGCCCTTCCACTGTATAGCCTGTCAAGATGAAACTGATCTGAAAGGCGACCCAGTTGGCATTGTCGATAATGTATGACCCTAGTGCAATTCCAATAATCACATCGTTGGCGACAAGCCACAAGCTGTTGTAGAAGCGAATGTAGTCCGGATGACTCGTAGTCACACTCTCCCAATTATCTTTCCTCTGGCGTAGTTTCACATATTGTATGGGCCAGTAACAGAACTGCTGTAATCGAATATCCACCTGCTGAGCTGTCGCAGATATGTCTTTCAGAGCAGCGGCATCAGGACGAGCGCGCCATTCGAGAATCTGCAGGACAATCTCTGCAATCGTGCGATGGAAGACAAGCCCAACAATGAATATGCGGGTAATTACAGGCCAGATCCACTGCCAGAAGACATAGGAAACGCCGAGAACGAAGAGATCCCACAGCGTAGTAGCGGATTCTACAACTCGCTCACCCACACTCATGCTTCTCTTGACACGGATGCCTACCAAATGGCTATTCTTCTCCATGAGCTTCCCCATCTCATAAGCGCAGTTGACCTGGTTGATGATGAGGGGGAGTGCCTGTTCTTTAGACGACGGAACATGCTTGACTACCGTGTGGAGCTTCAACTTTTCCACCAGCATTCCAGCTTGAGCCTTGTCCGACTCCTCTTCGGTATCAATCTTGTCGGATACAGCATCTGATTTATCCGAGCCAAACACCTTGTCGCCCAATGCCAGAGAGATCGGTTCCAAAGACATGTATTCCATCCTGGTAGGATGGGGCCGATGAAACATGATAACCTGGACAGACAAGTTTGTTTCCGGCGGACAGAAGATCCGAGGGACCTTGCCTGACGAGCTCGTAGTAACATAGAGATGGGACGGATTGAAAGCCGTTGGCGGATCTGGCGAATTGGTCGATCCTAGGACATGCATAGCCGAGCGTCCGCATAGAGCAAATATCCGCACGATAGGATGGGGGCTATTGCGGAAAAGAATCCCCGCCCGCAAAGCGTTGTCGACATTCCGGGGCTATCGGCCAAATGTTAGCTGCCTCTCGCTCCCAGCATGAACACAGTATAACCCAGTTTTACCTCCACATCTTCCAAGACCGTCAGAACGAAAAAGTCCACCTCTGAATTCCGCCATCCAACAATCACTCCTGGCGACGATGACCGGGGAAGATCGTATGGCCAAAATACCCGTAGCAACCCATCGCTCATGAGCATGTTGACATCCTCCAACCGCGATCAAAAGGAGCCTCGACGGCGTAGTTGTTCGCGCGCAGAGACGCCCAGGTGCACGTATCGAGGGTGCTAATTAAGAAAATCAGCATTGTTCGGGATCTTATAGCTGTATGGCTGTTCCGCAACAGCACGACAAGCCAGCCACTGCGATAGTAGCATACCAATTCACCCTCAGTCGCAGCTATATGATTGATAGGAAGTACAAGCAGGAAGAAGAATACTGATAAGAGGAGGAAGCCTTTTGCGGTCCGTGTCTATTGTCGAGAAGAAGTTAGCCCGTCCGTTGTTCAGTTACCGCGATTGCGCGAAGGAACAGGTAGCGAAACGAAGCATACCACAACACCGTGATCCCACGCAAATATAGCCAATTCGTATAGGCGAGTAACAAGATCCCACCTCGCGGTGATGTAGCCCGCTACGAAGATACCGAGAGTGAGGATGGAAAAGGGGTGCATGAATCAAGCTGTCCGGCGGGTGGTCGCTTCAGTTTGCGCGCATTGCTGAGGGGAGTGAAGAGGGCTGGAAGCGGAAGCGAAATTGCCGAAAAAGAGTGACGATCGCACAAGACAGGCTGACAAGTCATACAAGAGGAGATCAAAGACAATGAGAGCTTTTCAATCAGCCGGCAAGCTGGAAGTCTCAAGGCACGGAGTGGACGATGGGGAAGATGCGGACCGCAACCCTGAGGCGTCTAGATCTCCGCGGTCCCACGTGACTGGGTATACATCAATGCTACTACACAGTACGATGTAGATGAAGATCTGAGGCATGCTTTTGTATTGTGCGCCTTACACTAGATTTAACAAAGAAATTTCTCTAGACATTTACCCATTGACCCATGCCAACATACAAATAATCCCATTCCGAACTCCCAGACGCTATAATTTCGAATAGCAGCAAACTCATACCCATGACTTACAGAGCTTTAATGCCCTGGAACACTTTGTTCGCTTGTAACTTCGGATCAGTGTTGACAAGGTCGCGCATGATCTGGCGCTTTTCTTCAACCGTCAGGTCCTTGCCGGGTGCCTCGATTGCTTCCTTCCACTTCAGCAACATGTCCTTGAGGAGGGCACTTCCCTCCTCAACTTCTTCCTGCGAGTACTTGTCAAGTGACATGTTGGACTCTTGTCCCTGTGCTCCAGAGGAAGTGAAGTCCTCAAGCTCGTCTGCCTTCTGTCGCGCCATGTTGACCACCTTCTCCGGGAAGCGGACCAATTCAGCGACGTGAATACCGAATGACTGGTCACAGATGCCCGGTTCGACGCGGTACAGTAGCGTGACCTGGTCCCGCTTCGAATCTTTGCTCTCTTCATCGCCTGTGCCATCACCAATGAAAGCCACTACATGTAGGTTCTTGGCCGACTTGGGGTAGCGATCGGCCAGGGCCGTCAATTCGTGGAAGTGAGTTGCAAACAGGCCGAAACAGCGAATCTCGGT